GAACATTTCAATGATTCCTGACGGTTAAATTAGAGTCTAATTAAGGTTTTCCATAGTCATTGATGCTTATTCCAGAGTACAGGTTTATTGTGGGTAGCGTGACTGGGTAAACTGCGTTTCGACAATGAGCTGTTATTATCTTCAAAAGTGTTAAATTCTTCTTCAATGCTCAGCTTATTTTTCGAAAACAACTAATTTCTTGATTTAAAAAAAATCATGCCGTTTTCCCATCAAAATCAAAGCCAAACGATCGCACTACCACAACAGTAAATCTCTTCCGTGTTTTGTTTACCATGAGGTCGCTGAACTACATTAACATATTTAAATGAGCTCGTGTAATTTAATCACGTTGGCACCATCCAGCGTTTCGATTGGTTAATTAGCGACTTGACTATCAGGTCAACATAACAGTTTCAAGTCACTAAAGATGTTTGAACTAACATGGCGGATATTGGAACGAGCATTTATATGTGACCAAAATCATTTGCTTGCAGTGAACTAAGTTGAAATTTCACAACAATTCAACGAATAATCAGCAATTGTAACACTTCGAAAACAAGTAAGTTATTCACTTGTGTGAAACGCAGCATGACTGTTACCGTGATCAAATTTTTTTTGTTATTATGCGAAAATTTTTTTTTTTATTGACTTTTTTTATTTTAATTTCCCCGATGTCTAGATTAAACATGGAATGTACAGTCACTCTGCCGGAAGTCGAACATGCCGCAATCGACTGTGTCAGACGGCTGTCTGCACAGTTACTAAAGCCCCTTTCACAATTGGCGCCTCACTCATGCGATAATTTTTTTTTCGAAAATATTTTTTCCGTCCTGTTGTAGAAGTGTTGTCTTTGAGTCACAAGCAATATATAAAATCGTACGAGAGGTGAACGACCATTGCACCAGGATACAACAGTCGTGAGACGTAATCGTGCGATTATTTTCATGTTTCCGGGTGCAACAGTCATACAACGGCTGCAACGGTTGAACGATGATGCGACCAAGTCGCACGACATATGCGTTTTGTAGCGCCATATGTCGCGCGACCTAGCGACCCGTTGTACGACTACTACAACCGATCGTACAAGGCTACGACCTATTGTGCGACACGCCGCACCACCTGTCGCGCAAGGTGTTGGCCTATACGACACGCGATGCGACTTTCTTCATTACAACCGCTGATGCCTGACGAGACGCTGCTACAGTGAACAAGACACAACCAAAATACAAGCATCGGCATCAGATTATCATACTGTCCAAACAGCACACGTCTCTCAATCCAGGGTTTGACCCACCACATTCTTCTTTGCCTTGCATGTCTTTGACGTCTACGGATGAGTAAGGCCATCAATATGACATGTCTATCTTGAACGTTTTGGATTTGCCTTCTCAGACTTAGCAAATGCAAGAGCCTCCCAGGAGCTATTGGTCGAGCAGCAGCCATGTTTACAGTATGGATGGTC